GAGCCACATGCGGCTCTTTGGCCTCTTGAGTGTGGCTCTTCCTAAGCCTTAGGAGTACCCTAATTAAGTTAATAACAATGTACCTACCTATATAGTTTAAGTTTAAAAAATTTGGCTCTCAAAAGAAATTTCAATTGTTGTACTGTTGATATTTGGCTCTGTTGACTAATGAGTTTGCCGACCACTGAGCTAGGACAAGACAAAATCAATTTAAAACGCCTAGAATGTTAAGTCAAGAAATGGCATTCTGAGTGTACATTGAGAAATATGAAATGCCAGAAGAAAGAACCACATAAACTAATTGCCAAAGGGAGTTCTGCTCAATCCATCCATTGGAAACACCTAGAAAAGCTGCAGAAACGATTCTTTAAATCGGTTTAAAGGCATTGGGGGGAAATAAATAAAAGCGTTGGAGAGCTACAAAGCAGGAAAGAGGGCCGAGATCCAAGGGAAGAAGAAAATCAAGAGCGATGACCACATTTAAAGCGAGCCCTTCTACAAAGACCATCCAGGAATCAAACAGGCAAACCACAGCCCCTGAGAATAACGCATGTATCTGAAAAGCACTCTCATCACCAGAGCATGAAAGGACTACACATCGATAAGAAAAGGACAAGGGTCTTAAGAATTTCCCATAAAGGCTACTCGATGTCCAAAAGCAAATGGAAACCTCCATCAGTCATCGGGGACATGCAGATTAAAACCACACTGTGACACCACCACACGCCCAGCAGCATGGCCCACATGAAAACGACCGGCAGGATCCAGTATTAACCAGGGTGTGAGCGATTAACACTCAACTACGTTATTGGTGAGAATGTAAATTGGTGTCACTTGCAAAAACAGTCTCTCGTTATCTGCTGAAGTTGAGGCCACACGTGCCCTTTGACACTGCACTTCAGCCCATAGGTATACACACATCAGAAACCCATGTACATGTGGTAGATCAATTCATGAAGAGCTTATGGGACACCCTCCCCCCCAGATACCTTATCTTCATTAGGAATGGCCTCTGGTCTCAATGTGCTCGTTTCTCAGTCACAGCAGCCGTGCTTGGGTGGGTAGGGGCCTAGAAAGATCGGAGAGAGCTGGGGTGGGGAGTATAAGCTTTCGTTATGAATCAGTGGTATGATTTAATGTTTAACTCCCTGCATGCATTTCATTCATACTTTAATCATGACAAAAATAATCAATCATGGCAAAAATAATCCATGCATGCATACATAAAAGGGAGCTAACTTCTGTCCTTGGCAGAAATAGGATTCGCCCCAATTTTAAAATTAAGCCACCGACAAAGAAAAACGACATCATTTCCACAGGTGGATGATATACCGTCTATGTTTGGCTCAATTTTATTTTCCTTAAGATGAAAGGAACTTTGCATCTGTTTTACTTAGCAGTTAAATATTTTATTCCTCCACGGCCACACGACCTTCCATTTAGGCCGGCCTTTTAAGAAACCAAACGTTTTTCTTTTAGAGACAATCCCCTAGAAGGGACGGGCTCGGGGTCCTCTCGGGCGCCCAGCCCCGGCGAGTGGGACAAGGCGGCTTTATTCCTGCATCTCGGGGACCTGAGCCAACAGGCTGGGAGGCTTGTTTTGATTCCTAGCTCGGACGCTACCTCCGCGAGGCCTTGTTTTTCTGTCTCTCCTCACTGCAGTGTGATAAAAGCAATGACATCATGTCTCCTCGGGGCCGGCCCCTCCAGGAAGCAGGTGTGTGGGCAGAGTGGCGGCCGTGGCATTGCTGGGCTGGGCTGGGCTGTGCTGGGCTGGGCTGACCTGGGTTTGCTGCTCCCATAGCCCTCAGGCCTAACACCTGAGGCCGCTTTCATGGTTTTTCCAGTGACTTTCCCTCTCCTTCCCCCTCTGCAGCTGTTACCGGACCAGCCAGCGGGCCATGCCAAGCCCTAAGGGGTTTGCAGAATTAAGTCACCGGTGTTGCCGTGTGCTGGTCCTCGTGGAACAAGAGGACCTTTTTGGAGAGGGACCGGGACTCACCAGGGGCCCTTCCATGGAGGCCTTCGGGCTTAGCTGTGGAGCAAAGGAGGGAACGCTGGTAGTGAGTCACCGGCTGATGGAGGTGCCTCCCCTCGCCTGGCCCAGGCTGGAGTCCCCGGATGAGCGGGGGCAGGAGCTCCCCGGCCCGCACCCTCCTCGGGGCGGAGACATGCTGGCCCTGCGTCGGAAGAGCAAGCTGTCGCCCGGCCAGCTGGGTGCTGCCCACCTGCTTGGAGGCCCAGGTACGGGGCGTTTGGTTGCTGGTGGGGATTTCTGCCCAGAATGAAAAGGCGTGGGAAACCGCGGCATCGTTCTAACACAAGTGACATGCGCTGCAGTACCTGGTGGGGGTCCAGGGGGGTGGCTGCTTGCTCACAGCGGCCTCCTGGCTTCCCTGGGCTCCCAGGTCTGCCTTCGGCTCCTCCGGCCCCCACGCTGTGAACCTGACCTTCTTGGAGGGCTAGGCACCGCCTCTGGGAATCCGAACAGGGAACCCCCGAGCTGTGTTTTGGGGTTTTGTTGTTGTTTTGAAACATCCGATAAAATGGGCAGCTCCCGAGGGCACTTCAATGCGTTGACATTTGTCTCCACGCATGTAATCACCACCTCAATCGAGATAGAGAATTTCTGTTGCTCTGGAAAGTTTGGTCTTGCCCCTTTCCTGACAATACCCACCGTAGGCTACCCGGCTCAGATAACCGCTGTCCCGACTTCCGTCGACATAAACTAATTCTGCCTGTTGTAGAACGTCACGTGAACAGAATCATTCCGTCTTGTGCATCTGGCTTCCTTTACTTCTCATTTTCTGAAGTTCTCCCAGAGGTCGCATTGATCGGCGGTGTGTTCCTTGTCGTGGCATTGCACGGTTTTTACCACAATTTCTTTATCCGGTTGAGGTTTGCTGCTTCCAACCATCTGGGTGGCTGCCAGCTACTAGCGACTACAGACAAAGCTACAGGTTCTTCTGAACATGTGTCCATTCATCTTGGGTAAATATCTAAGAGTAGAATTGCCAGGTCATAGGGTTAAGTATACACCGAGTGGCCAGATGATGATGACCACCCCATCAGTACAATGAAGTGAATTAGTTATGCAAATAATAATAATACAACCTTGAGAGTATTTGCTTAGGAAGTTTTCAATATTCGGTATTTTTGGACGTGTCAATGAAGTACTGATGGGGTGGTCTAATCATCTGGCCACTCAGTGTATGTTTTACATCGAGAGAAACGTCCCAGCAGTTGTCACATGTTACTCGCCTGACTAGTGAGAGGTCCCAGTTGCCCCACATCCTCGCCGGCACTTGGAATTGTCAGCCTTTGCACTGTAGCCTGTGGAGTGGTTGGGAAGTGGTATCTCCTAGTGGTTTCCACGTGCATTTTCCCAGTGGCCACGTGGAACGCCATTCCCCATGATCGTTATCCATTCACACGTGTTCTTTGGTGCAGCCTTCATTCAAATCCTCTGCCCATCTTCACACATTGCGCACCGGTAGTTTCATTGCTAGCTTTACCCAGTGGCCAGATAAGTTTCGATTGAACGAGTACAAAAAACGTTTTCCGAAGTCTCATACTTTAAAAAGATATTCGCTGGTAAGAACAGGTCATAAATAACTTCAAAATGCAGTGGGTGTTTAATTTTAAGGCGTGCCTTCAGCATTTACGTAAAACACTGTGTAATCGGAAAACAGGAGAATGCTCCTGATCAGCCCGCAATGTGTTAGGTGGCTTATCTTTTTTTTAAAAAATATATTTTATTGATTTTTTTTACAGAAAAGAAGGGAGAGGGATAGAGAGTTAGAAACATCAGTGAGAGAGAAACATTGATCAGCTGCCTCCTGCACACCCCACACTGGGGATGTGCCCGCAACTGAGGTACATGCCCTTGACAAATCGAACCTGGGACCCTTGACTCCGCAGGCCAACGCTCTATCCACTGAGCCACACCGGTTAGGGCAGGTGGCTTATCTTTTTATCATTAATTGGTAGCCATGTTTTCTATATCCTAGGTAGACGTCTTTGTCAGACATAGGGAATACTCCTATTTTCTCTCAGCCTCTAGCTCGCCTCTCCGTGATATTTTTT